CCCCGCCCTGCCCTTGGCCTCGACTCCCTTGCACTTACTGCCTTCTAGCACGTATATCATTAACACGGTCATTGTGCTTATTATTGATCCTATCTCCCATAACTCGAACGCAAGCTCTACAAGGGCATGATTTTTATGTTTTGTTTTCACTGATAAACAATAATGCCTATAATAATTATAATTACAGTGCCTGACATATTAAAGGCACTCAGTGGTTATTTGTTGAATGAATGCATGAGAAGAACCTGTTTGCCTTTTGCAGTAAATCGTAAGTAAGTAGCCCGCAGATGGGGACTGTTCTCTAGCCCCAAGACCTAACGGAACGGAGGAACAGTGCAGAGAAGATGCTCAGGCTTTCTGGTAACGGTGCTAATACTTCCGTCTCATACCTTCACCTCTCGGGCGCTCATGGAGCTCTGCATAAGTCATTCCTTCTGTTTTCAAGCCAGCTGGTTCAAGGGTCTCATTCCTACTAGGGATGAAACTAGGCCTCAGGGCCGATCAAGAGCAAACCGTGAACTGAGTTCCAATCTCTCACTTGCTGTGAGACTGTGTCCAAGCTTAACGAAGGGGCTGATGCTGATCTGGGATCATCTCAGTTGTCAACGTTGGTCCCTTTCCCCTCTCCTTTCCTCCGGGTCTCAGTCTGGGCCTTACACGGTTGGCTTCCCTCTCTCAGGGGCTAACGTACCCCCCGCGGGCAGCCTTTGAAGCAGAGCGAGCAGAAGCTGCTGCGAGGCGCGGGGGCACGGCGCTTACCTGCACATTCCTGTTCAGGCTGACTGCCGGGAAGAACAGGCCTTCCACATTCTCGAAGGCTATGGGACCCTGCTGTTCGTCGTTGATAAAAAAGGTCAAGGTTTTCCTGTTCAAGTCGAGGAGGACCCCGATTGTGGCCCCCTTGGTGATCCCTCCCTCGGTTCTGTGGGAAAAGAAAACAACTGGGTTTCACTTGTCTTCATTCTAGAAGCTCCCCTCTTTGTACTCAATGTACAAACCCTTTTGAACTAATCAGTATTTCTCAGCCTGTTTAAAAATATCATTCCCCACACCCCAGGAGCATTTTTAAGTAATTTTTTTCCCCCTAGTCACCCCTCCTCACATATCATTTTATTACCACAGATATACTCGGTATCTGTTTATGTTTTGTGTGTATATCTGTGTTTTGTAAATAAAAAGAGTAAGATTTTTTTGCTTACCCTCCACACACTAACTTTCACTCCCTTGGGAGAGATATCGCCCCCTGTTGAGAATATAGGTTCGACCATGCTGCTCTGCTGTCATTCACAGTGAACTCATGCCCAGAGGGTCTCTACCTCTGAGCCGCGGAAAGAGAAAACAAATCGTTCAAGTCCAAGAAAAAAAAAAAGTCGGCTTTGGGCTATCAGAGCCCCGTCTGCAGCTATGTCGTGCACTTGGCACAAATGGTGGGAATTAAACATCAACTCCAAAATGACTTAATTTGAAAGTCAAAATAAAGAAGCACTAACGCTGAATCGAAAGCATATGCATGAAAAATTGGATGTGGGGCCTTATGCTACCGATTTAATAGAAAAAACTTGTTCCAGAAGGATGTTAATTTTGGGTATGTTGAGTTTAAATTGAGAAGGCTCTCTAAAAAATGACAACATCGGAGAGGATTCTCCCCTGCAAAGCGAAACAATTATATCCTGGAAAATGGAGGAGTGATTTTTAAAGAACCTGAATTGAAATGTCATTTTAAAGCAAATTATGTCTTATGCTTCAATTGATGGTTTCACAAAAGCCATTAACATGGACGATCAGATTTGCCTTACCCCCCAACTCTTTGAGGTCTAGCAATATTGAACTTCATCCTCGTCTCAGCAGAGCACAGAAACTGGGTAAGTGTTGTTTTTTCCCTCTGGCATGCAGAATACAGACTGTACATAGTCATTAAAAGACAGGTTTATAAATCGCATCTTGTTAATTCACAACTTCAACAATGACAGCACAGTTTGCACGCAAGCAGACATGTTCAGCTTTAAGAATGTGTTTCTTTGCATAGTGTGACACTTGTGGTATTATTTACTCCTTCACTCCAAACTAAAGAAGCTAGAAGCGAAAAGTGAGCGCGGTACATGGGGGAATGGCATTAGGGATCTAGTGACTGAGGGCTCCCACAAATGTAAATCACCAAAGATGACCGTTTGTCTATACCTAGTAGCATTTGATATCAGGCTGAAATGGTATGCGTGTTCACTTTAAGTGATAATGAACAACACACACCTAGATGGACGTGTATAGAAAACATCCAAGGAAATGGGAAGTGGAGGTCCTAGGAATCCTACCGACTAGAGAAGGAGCAGTGATGACCTTCCAGAAAAAGCTGAGACAGTGCAGTCCACCAGCCTACCACTGCCAGCCTCACTTTCCTCTTGATCTGACTGGATAGAGCTGTATTTTTTTTTTTCTCGAAACACCAAAGAGAGTGTATCTTAGAAAAAATCTTTGAGAATAAGGTAGACGAGGATCCCTGCAAGACACCTCTCGACTTAGGCAAACCAAATGATAAAGGAAGTCTAGGGAAAAAAAAATATAATTTGGGTTAAATGATAATTGCCTATATTTTGGTGTTAGAGGCAAACCTGAGGAGATTACTATGTTCTCCTTCCCCAGCAAACTGGATGTTCTGAATTTATATGATAATAAGGGTCCTACAAAATCTAAAGCTATCCAAACTGGCATCCGTAAGATTTAGTTCAATGCATGGCTTCTATCATGGGCAGTGGTATCGATAATAATCCTAACAAGAAGAACAATGGCTTCTGTTTTCAGCTGCCTCTGATGTGAGGCATTTTCACATATCTCATTTAATCTGGAGAACACTCCTGTCCGGAAAAATATTGTTATCCTAACTGGGTGGATTTGGAGACGAAGGTTCAGAAAAACTAAACGGTTCTCCTGGTAAGTTGTGGGTCTGGATTTTACAATCCTGGGATGTTTTCCTGGGACGGATATGCATGGGGAGTCTCAGTTTCTAGCCACGGTGAAGGGCCTAGGAAAGGGCTCACGTTTCTGGCATGACGCAAAAAAAAAAAAAAAAAAGAAAAGAAAAAACATCCCTCAATCCATCAGTTAACCACTGAGAAGGACTCAGGTGAGAATAGTAGAAGTCCTGTGCCACTTGCTGAAGACCACCTGCCTGGCTGCCTCAGTGTTGTCTACTTAACAGGACTTGGAACTTGGGCTCTCGTTTTTTACCAGAAGCCAACGTGAAGAAGGCTCGGTCTGAGGGCTGCCGGGTACCTGTTGGTGTGCGAGTTGTTGTGCATGAACCAGCTCCGGTTATTGTCCACATACATTGCCCAGGCTTTGTCGTCCTTCCCTAACATCACATCCTTCATCACGTCGATGCGAGCCACGCCGAAGGCGGGGTCAGGGTGGTTTTCGTAGCGATCCACGGTTAGCTCCCAGTAGTGGACACCCTTGGAGAAGCCGGTTTTCCCCAGCACCACCCGGTCATCGTAGCTGCTGCAGGTCACGGTCAGGTTGTCGTTGGAGAAGATGATGTCAGCGTGTGCCGAGCCGGGGTCGAAAGCGAACCAGGCCACTGGGAACAAGAGAAGGGAGTGCGGTTACTGAGGCGGACCCGAAGAGCTCCGTGTACCGCAACACACCCCTGCGCGGGGGAGGAATGTCGTGTCCCGTTTTCATGCGGCCATGCAGGAAGGAGGTGTCCGGGGCCACGGGGGGCTGTGAGTGAGCAGACAGGGGCCACGTCCTGGGAGGTGGTACTCTCTGCACCCAGAAGCAGACGGAGGACACGAGACCGATTCAGCAGGGGTTACCTGACTCAGACTGCACTCCCAACCAGGTGATCCGGGAGTGAAGTGGCATCGATTTTGGAAGGTGCAAGTCCCTTCACCCGGTGACTGGGACAACAGTACACCAGAGACATAAAGGGAGAGGGTGCGCTAAGATGCCTGTGTAACCCTGAGGCAGGGAGGCTAGGATCTACAGGCCTAGATGGAGGAGGGATAAAACACACTGAGTGAAACCAGGAAATATCCCCTCGGCAGGAGTGCTGACATCTAGTCGTTTTGAAAACTTCCTCAGCGCTAGTGGAAGCTCAAAGGCTGCAAAGCTATCGGCAACATGACCTAATTTTCATGAGTGTGACTTTGGACGTGAGACAGGTCGCTTCCTTCGTACCTTAAAAATAACAGTTTGCATGTTACTCCTAACACTAACATGGAAAATACTTTGCTGGAGCAGTAGGTATTTTGGACGCTAGGTGAAGACAGAATGACATCTTTGCACACATCGTTACGACCCAAGTTCTAAATGCTGCCTGCCAATAACACACTCCAGAGAGATGTCATTGCTGATTTATTGAACCTGTGAGCCACCTCACATGCACTTTGGTCTTTGCTATTTGTAACAGAATAAGGTTATTCCATACCTGCCAACAGCTTTTTAATGTCAACTGTTGTCATTCCAAGTGAAAGGCATGGGAGAGAGAAACAGGAAGCAAAATTGACATTGATAAGAAAACACGTCGCTTTTGATAGACTAACAGCAAAAAAGGGCTCAATTTCAAACACTACAAACACTATAACCGTTGGTCTGACTTGTACCTTCACCCACGTTAGCGCTCATAAAGAGTGCTCTGCATTGACGTATACGAAAACTGGGGGGAAATGTAATCCTCTTTTAGGTATAAAGTTTAAAAATACGCTTTTCTAAGGAATTGGGGAAGTGTTATAACTGGATTTTCATGACAATTAGACAATTTTATTGACATACAATAAGCTGCTGCCGTTTATTTGGTGGAGGATATTGAGCATGCCAATCACACAAGTAAAAGATGCCAATCACGATATAGGTGTACTTGCCTAACTGAGAGTAAGGTGCAGACTGCGGCTCAAAGCTGCATCCTACAAAGAAATACTACACATCAAAGCTATGAAGCAGCAACCAGGTGGATAAACAGTATTTGTATATACTTAAAAAGCACCAGCTGAAAAGAGTCACCAGAGGCCTGATTCATGAAAAACCAAAGCCCTTTTTATATTAGTTAACTTTGCTGGGTAAAAATGGTTTCTCTTGCTCTTTCAAAACGAAAAATGCATTTTTTCCCCATCTAATAAATCCTCCCCCAATGGATTCTAAAGTATGCAGCTTAAATTTCTATCAGCCCCCAAGCTCAATCTTTTCCACTGAAGTTTCCGTATTAAAGAGAAGGCTTACTGTTTAAAAATGGGAAAAATTCGGGGCTGGAGGAAAGCAAAATAAATAAATAAATAAATAAATAAATAAATAAAAACAAGAAAAATTCATCCAATTGAGAAGGAGAAATCACTGGATCTTGATAAAAATTCTGTTCTATATCACTATTCCATGCACTTCTAACTCTGGTGGTAACCAGAAAACCTTTGTCATGACTTGGGCCCAAGTTAAATGATACGTATATGTGTGACTGAACATAGAATGTATATGCTAATAAAAATATCTGATAATTTTTAATAATGACATGAATTAAATGTAGTGAAACAAATGACTTCATCTCCTTAGATCATTTTTACTACATCAGTTCTTCTCACCTAAGGGAGGGGAGGGGGCGCTCGTGGAGGTAGGATGGTCTCAGGGAGATATTAGAATCACCTGTGGAAATTTTCCACCCCTCCTTCCTCAAGATCTGGATCCCATGAGAAGCTGGATTGGGTGGTCTTAAAATGTTCAAAGGTGTATGAACTATAGTTTCAAGTGGTGTTGGGGACTGATCTGGAAAATGTATTTTTGATGAGCGCTGGGGTATCCCTTAGAGGGGATCATTTAATCTTTTTTTAACTCTGTAAGGCCTTTATACACTAATTTCTAAAACAATTGAAGGATAATACACTGAATTAAAAGAATTTTAGAATTAATACAGCAACTTACTATAAAAAAAGGACTAAGGATTGAATCAAAAAACAAAACTGAAAGGTACGTCCTTACTTTTGTTTATTTTACTCTGGGATGAATTCACGTACAAAAGAATCATTTTCTCCTAACTCATGGCTGATTTTTATGCTTAGCTTCTACGAATTACCACTTTAAAATTCCTATTCACAGGTTAGAGCGCAGTGAGGACTGAACACAGGAGTTTTAAAGCTGAATCTCATATCCTGCTTTGGAAATGAATTTATAGAATCTGAACAGGGCTTTTAAAAATTTTAAATGAATCATGCCTTCTGCAAGTCTTTTTCAAAACAAGCGTTCTGAAATCTTTTTACACTATTGAAAACATACCGCCATACATTTAAGAGTCAATGATACAACTAGGACAATGCTGTTAAATACAGCCATCGCATCTCCCCCGACCCACATTTCATTTTATTCCTGAGACGATATACATTACAAAGACTATAACAGTATTTCAGTACATTGGACACAAGTGAAAAGAGTTTCATAACAAAGCATGTTTGAAAGCCAGCGGTGCACAGAAAAACAATAAGAAACGTAAAAGCACAAAGATGTCATTTTTAAAGAGAGCCTCAAGTCCCTGCATCCTTTTTGTACTGTCATGCTGCGGTCTTCTTCATTCCAGGATGTGGGATGAGCAAAAAGAATAAAATAAAAAACAAAAGAAACCTTTGGAAATGTGAAATGTGCATCCCGTGTATCCACGATTACAATATAGTCCTGAAGAGATCAAATAGGTTTGCATCTTATCTGTTTTAGGATTCTGTTGGCCAGACAGAGTCGACTGCACAGTAACGCAGGTCTAGCTTCCCTGAAATCCACCCAAAGCCCTGTCACAACCTGCTTGGCTGTGGGAAACGTGGGGGGAGCCAGCCTTAGCCATGACTTGGATCTTTGGCCCTTAGGCCGGTTAAGGGTTTCTAATTTGGTTAGCGATTGTCCCTCCCCGTTGCTAGGAAAAAATCCGCCATGAGCGGGACTGTCTGACCAGTGAGCACAGGCTTTTGCAGAAAATACTTTCATATCTGCTCTCTGCTTTGCCTGCTTTGTAGGATGCATTCCGCTGTTGGTGTGTTTTTACTTTTTTTTTTTTTCAATAAAGATCTCTTGAGTCTATGTTTAATCAGACCACTACGGGCTGGATGCACTGATCCAGTCTCCCAGACACAGCTGGTTTCCTGGATACAGCAGGGTTGCAAACCTCCAGACTGAGGCCACAGCCTCCACTCAGCCAGTGCCTATGCCGTGCTATGCCACTACATGGGATGACAGAGCGGGTCATCCTTGGCGGTACCAGCTGGTGCAAAAAGAACAACTTCACTCGTCACTTTCCAATGCCACTGGACATTGACCACAGCTTGATGGTTGGACCTTACACCACACAGACAAGAACGCCACAAAGCTCCAGCATCCAAATGCTCCTCATACGGGAAGCAGGCCACAGACATGGAGACTGCTCATTGCCCCTCTCCATGCACATGAACGGCAAGAACAAAACAGGTATTTCGGAGATGCCATCAAGGCACAGAGAGATCAAGGGGAAAGATCAGACGAGCTCAGCTCACCCGGTGCATTGAGAGACTGCAAAGAGGAATGCAAGCTCAGCTGGTGGGGTGAGGATCGGAAATCAAGGTAGGATCTCCCGGGAAAGCTGGGTTGTAGATTAAGGGTGGAGGAGAAAGGACTCATTCTACGGAGCGGCAATCTTTCCGAAGGCACTGGAAAAGGGAGTGTCTGTTCTTCTGAATCTGTGTCTAGATGTAAGATCAATGCAAACTAGAGATCAGAAATCTGCTACCTGCCCAAGCACGGTTCCCCAAGACCTGCCTTACCGATGCATTTGCACAAAGCCTCATCCATCCCGCAAGTGCCACAAGGCATTTTACAAAACCAAAGTGGCTTGGGGGCCGGGAGGGCATTCTCAGCAGGTCAGGAATCAAGACCAGAGGACAACTCAAACATCACAGACAATTGCTCTCATTTCCCCCAATTTTTTAGTGCTAGAGAAGGCATTTTGGAAGGTTTCCTTTTCATTAAATTTTTTAGAGTTGAATTTAGAAACTCTTAGAGGTAGATTTTACCCATTGATGACCAAGAGTGATACTTTACCCCCTTCAGCTACCTTGGAAGTTATTACCTGCACAACAATGGCTTCTTAAAGGGTTTCTATTTAGGAGATGATGATTTTTTTTTAACCAATTCTTTGCTTTTCCATATTTTTCCCTTTTCTCACTTATATGTATTTTTCCGTTTCTGAATGGACGAAATGATTTTTCTATCCTAACACCGTCCACACTTGCTCTTTGAATAGGAGAGGAAGACAGTGCTGAACAAGTGATCAGGGAAGGAGCCTTACCTTTGTTTCTGAATTAGGATCAGACCCCAGGGATACCACTTGGACAGCCCTGGTTTTCTAATAATAAACAGCCCATGGGGCCGTGGTGAGGTGTGTGGGTGGCAAAAATGTCTTTATTTTCAGATACCTGGGTCTGGCATGAAGATCACTAAATTACTAAAATCACTCCTTTCTCTTTTGTCAAATAGCTGGGTCTAGGTAGTAGGGTGGTCTGGTCAGAGATAGATGTTTTACCAATCAGGACCTTCTTAGAACACACTGTGACAATAATAATTTAAGAAAGAGAGATG